TCAAAGAATGTTCGGAAAAATGTTCGGCCCTCCACCATGTTCACTTCATCCAATCTGGCCCTCTTTGAAAAAAGTTTGGACACCCCTGATGTAGAGTCAAGACACTAGAAAAATGTACAAACTTTTTTGAATGCCAGTTCATGATATGGGCCATTAACTAACACTAAACCCACTCTCACCACCATTCTAAAGCTATTCCATCTAAGTCTGTAAAGAAAAGATCGCTATACTTGCCTATACTGAAGCTGCTCCAGTCTGGTCTCCAGTGGCAGCTTCTGTTCAGTTGGAAAATGCCTGGAAGATGATATCACCCATAGACTTACTATGGGGCATCGGTTGTTGGCTGCCTTTCCTGCACACAGAAGCTGCTGCTGACAGCTCAGCCTGGGAACGAACCAGAGTAGTCTCAGTATAGGTAAGTATAGCAATCTTTTCTTTTCAGGGTTAGATAAAATAGCTTTAGAATGGGAGTGGGAGTAGGTTTAACATTAGGTAATCACTTGAATTCCACTGTAAAGTGTATAAAAAAACCCCCCAAAAAAATGTAAGGCATTGCAGCTTACCATTCCTTAGATGTGGTAGCTATATTAGGCCTTATGCACACAGGTAGCAAGAGGCTAAAAATATGCTGCGTGTACAATTTTCAGTGTTTTTCCAGAATGAAAAAGTGTGCAATGTGGTGCACTGTAATACATGGGCAAGGTGCATCGGAGTGCCACTTAGAATAAATAGCCACGCATTTCAGTAACGTGTAACACGTGACTGCAGTGCAATGGTGTGAGCAGTGATAATGTTGGTAAAGTTTTGAATCTGTATCATAAACAATCTGCAACTCAATACAGTTCCAGTGTAGTCACAAAACCAGTTAACTAACATTTACCATGTAAAATTCCAAGTTAATTTAATCTGATATTGCTTATTAATTTCTGGCAATTATATTGACATTTGTACTCCTTTATAGAAAAAGTCTCTGTCACAGATTTATGGAAAATATAGCAAAGTAATATAGATTTGTATAGAAAACCTGCTTCAAGATCTCCATCTATACCATGTACTAAGAAAAAAGTGGTTTATTGGGGAACATTTACAGTTTTCTTTGCTTTAGTTATCACTAACTATCCTCTCTATATCTGAAGATGTTTCAATACCAAGTAATCCTTCTTAATGACATTTAACTGCTCATGTGAAAGTCATACTTTATTAAGGAAAAAAAAAAAAAGAGAAGGACATTGAAGATCTTTAGGTTCAAAGCCAAACAGAGATCTCAATAAGTTATGCAGAGCTGACGAGAGGCTCTAATCTTATTGATATATAGGGGTCTCTGACAGCACTTTGACGATGTACAGTATGTCCTCCCTTATTCAAAGTGTCCCTCTGGAGATGCAAAACGGGCAATCGATACAAGCTCGTCACAGCTAAAAGCTTCTTCGAGTGCAGCAAGGGGCTAATTACTAATCAATCTGTTGGTGGTGGTGGGGGGGAAGTAATTGTAGAGTAAAGCACAAAAAGGCAAGAGCTCTTCTGGAATCAGGAGTGTGAAGAATCTGCTTAATGTCCAGACCCCCACACACAAATTCGCTGTGAGAATTGTTAGATCACCTCAGAAGAACTTTCACCCCACACTACCTCCTTTTCCTGTAGCTTACAGGCTAGCAAGCAGTGTGGGGTTTGCGGATGTATAGGGTTGTTAAAATAAATCACGCTCTTTAACAACGCTTCCCACCACTAACTTTGCCTGGAGGGTTAATGTTGTGTTACTGGCACGCCTTCTGTTTAGGAAGCAGATAAATTAACTGAAGAAATTATCCTTTAATGACTTCATATGCAAACAGTGACCTAGACTTCAAATCAACCGAGGGCTTTTATAAGTGAACCACAACTAAAGAATAAAACTATGCAACTAAATTATAACAAGCTAAAATATTTTCAATCTAACATGCCTGACTCAATCCTATAAGTACTCCCACAAATTTAGGGAGAGGGTTAACCTCATGAATATTTTTTCATCAGTGGTCAGAATTACACCTAGACACCTAGAAAACACATGTACAGACAAATGGAAAACACACAAATGGCCTTTGGAAGCCAAAATCATTTTAATAAGTTATTATTATTATACAGGATTTATATAGCGCCAACAGTACATTTGCAGGATTTACATTTGCAAGTTAATACATTTGCAGCTAACGTTTGTTATTCTGTCTCATTTATCCAATGTGAAACAGATTATCTGAAACAGAAACCTGATTTAAAGATAACCTCCAAGCAGATATAAAGGACACAAATAATTGCAGCTCGGCAATCATTAGTACATCATTAAATGCATTTTTTTCAAATGCACATGGTGTACGTACCTTCATTTGACTTGGCATCAACATCTTGCAGTCCCTATGCAATAGAGGTCAGAGAGGAGGGGGGGGGTAGCACAAGTCAATTGGATGTGGTTCAGTGGAACAAACTTGCTAATAGGAGGAGCTGCTTCTCATTAACTGTCCTGTCACAGGGTGGGGAGCAGACCTGCAAGTGAAAGTTAAACTGGAGAAGAGAAGGGTACTTTTCTGTAAAGCAGTAAATCTCAAGTCTGGGTGGACAGAAATATAAATCTACACTTTCACTATCTGAGAGTAGGGGACACCTTTCCTGATGACAACAAACATATGTTGTATCCCTTAAAAATTTGCAGAATAATAGTTGATCTGTCAGAAATCCAATTATTCTAATTTCCTGTTTGAGTTGACAACATGTTGCCTGTGCTGCACTTAATCTCACACAATGTGTTGTCAGTTGTGCCAAGCGGTTTTCCAGCATTACAGAATGTCCCTCTTCTCTCCTCTCCACTTCATCATAACACAATAGGATGGAGTGTTACTTAGAAGGGGAGATAACACAATTAGGGAGTTCAATAGAGCAGAGGATGAATTGTCCGCTGCAGGAATAAGTGTGGAAGTCACTGGCTGGATCAACAAGTATTATTCTGTGAAAATATGTGAAAATGTGCACTTATTGCAGAGCTGTAAAGAAGGTGACATGATGTATAGTTGCCACCTTACCGACGCAACAGCTTTCAGTCTCTACCCTGAAGCCTTGCCTATGTTAACCTCTTATTGCTCCATTCCCCCTATCTAGCTCTTACAACATATCTGCAGTCTGTTTATCTTATACTGTTTGTTTCCCCAGTAATTTCTATTATTACACTCTACTGAAAAAAGTATTGGGACACCCCTCCAAATCTTTGTATTCAGGTGTTCCAATCACTTCCATGGTCACAGGTATATAAAATCAAGCCCCTAGGCATGCAGACTGCTTCTACAAACATTTGTGAAAGAATGGGTCGCTCTCAGGAGCTCAGTGAATTCAAGCATGGTACCGTGATAGGTTGCCACCTGTGCAATAAGTCCATCCGTGAAGTTTCTTTTCTCCTAAATATTCCTTGGTCAACTGTTAGTGGTATTATAACAAAGTCGAAGCAACTAGGAACAACAGCAACTCAGCCACGAAGTGGTAGGCCACGTAAAATGCCAGAGCAGGGTCAGCACATGCTGAGGCTCACAATGCGCAGAAGTTACCAACTGTCTGCAGAGTCAATAGCTAAAGACCTCCAAACTTCATGTGGCCTTCAGATTAGCACAACAACAGTGCATAGAGAGCTTCATGGAATGGGTTTCCATGGCTGAGCAGCAGCATCCAAGCCTTACATCACAAAGTGCAATGCAAAGCGTCGGATGCAGTGGTGTAAAGCACGCCACCGCTGAACTCTAAAGCAGTGAAGACATGTTCTCTGGAGGGATGAATCATACTTATCTGGCAATCCGATGGATATGTCTGGGTTTGGCGGTTGCCAGGAAAAAAGTACTTACCTGACTGCATTGTACCAAGTGTAAGTTAGATGGAGGGGGGATTATGGTGTGGGGTTGTTTTTCAGGGGTTGGGCTTTGCCCCTTAGATCTAGTAAAGGGAACTCTTAAGTCATCAGCATACCAAGACATTTTGGACAATTTCATGCCCCCAACATTGTGGAAACAGTTTGGGGATGGCCCCTTCCTGTTCCAACATGACTGCTCACCAGTGCACAAAGCAAGGTCCATAAAGACATGGATGAGTCAGTTTTGTGATGGAGGAACTTGAATAGCCTGCACAGAGTCCTGACCTCAACCTGATAGAACACCTTTGGGATAAGTTAGAGTGGAAACTGCAAGCCAGGCCTTCTCGTCTGACATAATCGCCTGACCTCACAAATGTGCTTCTGGAAGAATGGTCAAACATTCCCATAGACACACTCCTAAACCTTGTGGACAGCCTTCCCAGAAGAGTTAAAGCTGTTATAGCTGCAAAGGGTGGGCCAACTCAATATTGAACCCTACGGACTAAGACTGGGATGCCATTAAAGTTCATGTGTGTGTAAAGGCAGGCATCCCAATACCTTTGTCAATATAGTGTATATATATATATATATATATATATATATATATATATATGTATCTATTTATATATTTTTCCATTATCCACTTGCCTACTGGGCACTTTTACCCCCTTCCTGCACAGGCCAAATTTCATCTTCCAGCACCATCGCACTTTGAATGACAAATGCGCGGTCATGCAGCACTGCACCCAAACAACATTTGTATATTTTTTTTGAGACATATAGAGCTTTTTTTTGGTGGTATTTAATCACCTCTGTTTTTTTTTATTTTTTACTAAACAAACTAAAAAAGCCTGAAAAGTTTGAAAGAAAAAGAAAGTTTTTCTTAGTTACTGTTAGAACATTTTGTAAATAAGTAATTTTTCTCCTTCAATGATCAGCGCTAATGAGGCTGCAGTGATGGGCACTGATAGGCTGCACTTATGGGCACTGATGGGCACTGATAGGCAGCACTGATGAGGAGGCACTGGAAGGTGGCACTGATGAGCATTGACAGGCATCACTGGTAGACATTGACAGGCATCACTGATGGGCACTGAAAGGCAGCACTCATATATGGCACTGATAGGCGGCACTGTTGGGCACTGATAGGTGGCATTGACTGGCACTGATGGCACTGATAGGCGGCACTGATTGGAACTGTTAGGTGGCATTGATTGGACTGTTAGGCAGCATTGACGGGCACTGATAGCCGGCACTGACTGGCACTGATAGGTGGCAATGATTGGCAACACTGATAGGCATCACTGACTGGCACTGATAGGCATTACTGACTGGCACTGATAGTTGGCACTGAAGGCAGCTCTGATGGACACTGATATGTGCAATTGATGTGCACTGATGGGCACTGGTATGTGGCATTGATGGGCACTGACAGGTGGCATTGATAGGGCTGCACTGAACATCAGGGCACTGATCATCAATGCCCTGATGATCAGTGTACATGTCCCCTCTGAGGAATGCCTCTTACCATCTCTTCTCTCCTCACGCGCTGCAAGCGTGAAGAGAGGACTGCCAATAACTGGCTGCTCTGTACAAAAAAGGAAATGGCCGGAGCTGCTGTGTCCTAGTTCTCTATTATTTTCCAGTGCAATCTTGGACACAGCCTTTCCCCCAATCCCCAGCTAACACTTTTTAAATGCCTCACTAACACGCTATAAATGCTATAGGTGCTGTTAAGGTGCAGTTATAGAGCATTATTATTGAAATCAATGAAGGCAGCTGACAAACATTAATGCTTCATGAAAGTGAAATGCTGGCTTATTTTTAACACAACGCTACCACTCCTGTGTGAACAGTACTGTGTGGTGACATTGTCATATTCATGGCAAGCATTGAAGGGCGGTTATGAGGCTTTAAAAATGCCTCATAAAGAGAGGGTATTGATGCACATGTGAACAAGAACTTAGGCTCCATTCATACTAGTGTGATTTCAGGTGTAACTTGAGTCACACAGAATCACTTGACAATGGAAATCACATTGTTTTCAAATGTGCCCATTTACACCAATGCAACCCAGCATGGTGCAATTTTGGAAAAGGTTCCTGTACTGTTGTGATTCTAGCATCATTTTAGCCCCACAGAAGAAGCAAACCACAACCAAGTAGCATCCAAGTTGCACTACATAATCGCACTGAAAATCAGGTAAAAAATCTGAAAGTTGGATTTCATCCATCCACTGATTTTTAAGTGGTTTCTTTGAGCAGCAACTAATAGTAATTTATCAGAAGTCTCCTAGACTGCATACTGTTCTTCAGGTTTATTAAGAAAAGCTTATCCGCATGTTGTGACAGAATCACCATCCAGTAGGTCTCGATTTCAGTCAAACCCCCACCATTGCTTCAAAGCCCTGTGTGTCTGGATAGTTATTATTTGGCTGGATAAAGCTGACTGTTTCTGCTAACGGTCTTTTAGTAGTGAGGCCAGGCATTGGCCAAAATATAGCAAAACATGGCAACTCAATACATATTAAACCCCAAACTCCACCTCAGAAGCCATCAAGTCTCTTTGGGCTTTGAGAAATACAAAACAAATTATAGAAAGAAATTAGAAGAGCCAGGCATAGAAACAAATAGTATGTGAAGCAGAAAAGGAAAAATGGTTTGTTGGAACCAAATATCTACAGAGATATAAATTCAGCAATAGAGAGAAAGAGAGATGGAGAGAGATGAGAGAGATGAAGGAAAAGGGGCAAAGATCAGGACAAACAGAAGGACAAAAAAGTTGTGATAAACATGCAAATTCAATAAAATGGTAATACAGAAAATAAACAGTAATAAAGTTAGTTTTAAAAGTGAGAAATTGAGAAGGAGAAAATAGTGTTATCAAACACAGCAGTCATTTACTTTTGAATGGATGGTAATGAGTAAGCAATAACTAACCTCACATGGATGATTTCATGCTTTTTGAAATGTTCATTCTCCACGTGTGGAAGCATAATGTTTTGAATAGATAGACCCTTTGTAAAATAGTTGTTCTGAAATGTTATGACTTGAAACATTATGATTTTCGGTTGTGACCTTCATTTTTGGAATAATAATGGGAGGATGAAACATGAATAACACATTTTTCATGTCTTGTTGGCCTTTGGTCTCTACTAATGAGTACCCTTTGAATTCTTTGAATTCTTCCTAAACTTTATTCATTGGACTCTGATTACTATGTATAAATAAGGTTAGGCTGTCCAAGAAGTAACTCAGCATGCATGGTGCCATTTAATTTCTGCTGTGCTTACTTCTTACAGAAATAGTGAGTAAAAACTGCCACAGTGGAAACAGTTGTTCTGTATGGGGAATCCAGGCTTCCATCACTGTCTTCTCATTGTGCAAAAATTAGTTGTCTGTCATACTAATGCTCTTGCTTCCATTGTTTCAGTGATTAATGCAGAACATGTAAATAGATAAAGACTATGCTCTGACTTTTTTGAAATGCATATCTTTTCTGGGTAATTAAAGCGATAATAAACCCATAAACATTAGGAGTTTTTTTTTTTTATTTCATTTTATGTGGTGGTGATTCAGCCAGTAACACACCTGATGTCTAGGAGTGTCTCCAGTGTGAATGGAAGAGCTACAAAGACACGCTTGGACAGCAGCATTGTCATTCTGGGGAGAGGGTAATGTTAAATGTACCAGCAGATTAAGGCAAACTAAAGCGTAACTCCAGCTAACACTTTTAAAGTGGAACTAAAGGAAGGATACCTACCTTTCCCTTGCCGGTGCCAGCATCTCCTGTGAGCTGGGTTTCTGCCATCTTCATTGTCTGGCAGGGGATGATGTTTCTCCTGCACATACTTAGGAGCTAGTCATCCCGACACACAGAATGGGCCTGGTTGGTCTAAGATGAGCTGCACATGGGTGGCACAGTTTACAGTCTGTGGGATTGCTATGGGCAGACAGGAAGGTATGTTTTACTCTAAAAGATATATTTAATCTCTCTTCTGCTGTGAAATGCCTACCTGCTCACAGTGTATCATAGCAGAGTAATTGCAGCAACAGTGTTTTTTTTTCCTTTTGGGATAAAGGTTTTACATTAACCACTTGCCGTCCGGCCGCTGTATATAAACGACCGGACGGTGGCAGTCCAGGGGCGGGTTGCCGTTCATAAACGTCACCCGCCATTATGGACTGTGCACACTCCCTGACACAGTGGAACACTGATCGTCGTATGTCGTACCTCTGTGCGAGGTCCCGATCATGTGATCACTGATTGGCCAATCAGTGATCACATGTAGAGTAGTAAGCAAGATGTCACTTCTGACATCATTGCTTACTACGTGTGAAATCTGTGAATGATCACAGAGGTCACATGGTACAAGGCTATTCACAACAACCTTGTACCATGTGACAAGCTGTGACCAATCACAGCTCACACAGTAGTTCTCAATGGCTGCAAGAATGCAGCCAGAGAGAAGGAGAAATGATTGCTTTTACAGCCGTTATAGGTGTAAAAGCAATCAGTGTAAAAAAAAAATCTTCATCTCCCCCCACAAGTAGTACAGTGTCACCATGGTGACACTGTACTGCTAGGGTGACAGTATGTAGAAAAAAAAAAAACATAAATAATAATATAAAAAAAAAAATAAAAATGTAAAAAAAAAAATTTTTAAATTATAATTTTTGGTTATAAACTAATTTGGGTTATTCTTTTTTTACTAAAAAGATAACTGAATAAATTTTGGCCAAGATTTATGATGAATTATTATTTATTTGCAAACTTTTATAAGAAAAACACTTTTTTCACAATTTTTGGACTTTTTCATTTATGTAGCAAAAAAAAAAAAAATCCCAGTGGTGAATAAATACCAACAAAATAAAGCTTTATCTGTTTCAAAAAAATGCTAAAAAATTCATATGGGTACAGTGTTGCATGACTGCGCAATTGTCATTCAAAGTGTGATAGCTCTGAAAGCTGAAAATTGGCCTGGACAGGAAGGGGGGAAAAGTGTCCGGACTGGAAGTGGTTAATGAGTAAAAGCTAACAGTTGTAAGAATCCCTGTTACTATTAAAATGTTTTCCTCAACCCTCTAACTGTCACTTTTTAACAGACTTACTGACATAATCAACAAGTGAAAATAAATTTTAAAAAAGCCTAAAAAAGAAATCCAGTGCAGTCACAGTTAGTGGGGAGGCATAACAGCCAGACAACTAGCATGTTCAGAAGGATGTCAGCAAAAGCACCCCCTATATTTCTCTTAGGAAAGGTTTACTTTAAATAAGACAATTTTTTCCTCAATCTTCTCAATTGATATGTTGAATGCTGACCAACCCACAAAAGACTGCCTCACTCCATGGCTAAAATATAGCTGGAAAATTTACAAACAGAAAATGTATTCTGTTACTGCATTTTTCCCAAAAAATGGAATAATATTCCTCAATTAGAAAAAATAATATGCTGTAACTCTGGAAACTGGTAATGAATGGGTTATGTAGAGAAGTGTAACAATTTAAGCAATAATTATTTCAGAAATATATAGACCAAGTGAGAGAACAGAGAATTGAGAGAAAATGGAGAGGTGTTTTTTTAGCCAATTTTTTTTTTTATTATTATTATTATTTCACAGAACAATGTTGTTTGGCAGAGCTGGTGGTTTTGTTCCTGGCATTAAACCAGGGAAGGAGCTAAAGGCAGAAAACAAATATGAAATAAAATATGGCACAGCTTTGGCAATATCCTGCAGGATAAACTAAAGACAGAAAGAAGCGGGAGAGAATACAAGAGTGAGAGGGGGGACGAAAAAGAAAACAAAGGTCTGGCACAAATGTTATAATCAAGAAAGTCAAGGTTAACATTGTGGAGGGAATGTGGGGGTGGGATGGAGGATCAAACTTAACCTTTTCATGTCTTCTATGCAGGGCTGAATAAATGTGTGTTATCTAGGCTTCTCTACAAGTTGTAATCACATTCCTGCCTAAATTTCCCAGTGCTGATGACAATGGCAGGCTTTTTAGCACCTTGGACAGCAGCAGTAATTGCACCCATATTGGCTGTGTGTTTTCTTTCACCTGTGTTGTCTTGCATTAATGGTATAACACAATGTCCTGTGTAATTTTTCTGCATCCACAATGACCACAGAGTACATAAACCTCGTTCTTCCCAAATATCCTTAGAATGTAGATTGCACACCACAAAATTACAAGGGTTTATTTCTTTATGATACCCTTGTTGCCTGAGCCAAGACTAGCAAAGGAAAGCTATTAGGGTCTTTTAGTAAGGGAAAATAACATATCTGGCAGGGTATTGGAGCAAAGAAGTGTTCCTGGCATACTCACCTTTGTAGTCATCACAAGAAAAGAAATAATTAACTTTACACAATGGATATCACACTGTGGTTGGCTGATGCATTGCTCATTATACTTTATGAGATGTGTCTAGATGGCCCCTTGCATAGTCTGATAATTAAAGAGAATTGGTCTGATTGAAATGC